TTCCTTATCATAGAATCACAGAATCCTAGACTGGTTTGGATTGGAGAGGGCCTTAAAGATCTAGTTCCAACCCCCCTGCCATGGGAAGGGACACCCTCCACTAGACCAGGTTGCCCAAAGCCCCATCCAACCTGGCCTTGAACACTTCCAGGGATGGGGCATCCACAGCTTCTCTGGGCAACCTTCTCTGTTGTCTCTGTCTCACCACAAGCAAATAAGAATTTTTTAAAAATAAGAAAAGAACAGACAAAGAATATTAAACATAAGTCTTCTCACCTTTGCTTTTCGAAGGACATGGCCTCGACATGGAGAATTATTTGATGAGGGAGGTCGTTTCAGAGCTGCCGCACTGTTCACAGGTATCGAGCATTCAGTATCACTGGTATCACAACTGGAGATTGGAGAATTTTCCAAAGTTCGGTGCTTGAAAATTGGAGACTAATAAAGAATGAAAACCTTACATTGAGTTTCCTCCAAATAGTCACATGAGCAATATTTTCTATCTAGACTTAAAATTGAAGATTTTTTTTAAAGAAATCATATTGATAATAATGATGGATAAGTAAAAAAGAGGTTAGAACAAAAGAAAACAAAAGAAAGTGTGTGTTCTGTGATGAAAACTCAAGTTTGTTTTCTGGGATTAAACAATGCTGCATCATCTGGAGGAACTGACACATCCCTCTGATACTTCTGATGCAGCTGCCCAGTGGCTTCTGACACAGCCCTAGCATTAGCCAGGGCTGCCATGCTCCGTTGTGAATGTGTGCGATGCAGCCCTTGCACAGGGTGACAGTGATTGACAGGGGACTGACGCATTTAGGTCTCCATGACTGCACGATGACTTGGTGCATTTAAACCTCGCTGGGATGGAGCAATGTGTCAGTTCATGCTCTTTTACAGTCACTGAGGACAAATGAGGTGTCAGCTTTTGCACATCATCCCAACACATACTGCGGGTGATTCCCATGTCTACCTGCTCCCTGTTGCTGTAGAAAGTACATCAGATGTGGGTGAAGAATGCAAATAATGCAGAAAGGCATTTAGTTCTGCTTTTACTTGCTGGGCTTATTAAACTTTTTGAAAACTCTCAGTTCCCACTCTTTTTACTGGAGCTGAGACGCTCGTGGTACTGGAATTTGTGTCTTTAACAGCTTTGCATACCTGTGGGCTTGATGTTCCTGACTTGGGCTCAATAGCCAAGCCCAGTGTGATGCCACCAGCCAAGGCTTTCTTAAGGCTCTCCTTCACCTCGGTCAGTTCTAGCTCCAGGTTCACACGCTCAGCCTCCTTCTGCTTACACTCCTCTTCCAACTTCTTTAGCTTGTCTTCAAGGATCACTTGGGTCTTCCTGCCTGTCATCCACAGCAATGTTATTATTTCAATAAGAAGCTTAAATTGACACTTACAGAAATTATTTTCTTTTCAAAGAAGGTACAAGGTCTCTAAAAATCAGCGACATCACAAAAAAATTAGGTACTTCGCAAAACCCACTTTTTTAATGTAAAAAAGTTTAGCAACAGAAATCAAATGTAGGTATGTATATAAATACCCACACATATATAAAATATGTATAGAAAATAAGTATGTACACCTACACATATATATAATATATGTGTATATTTTGTATTTATATAGAAAGCAAACATAGACATTACAGAGTATAGTTTAACATCAAAACCAAACCTTATGTAGTGGCATGTCGTCAGCACAGAATACAAAGCTATTTGGATGATTAAGCCTACCCAGGGCAGAATTCAGCACAAAAAAGCACCTCATACCAGCATTGACTTCAATAGCAGCGCGTAGATCTTTTCTTTCTTTTCGGAGCTGGGCCAGCCTATTCCGGAGCGCTTCTTTCCTCTTTAGCAGCTCCTCCTCTTTGCTTTGTAACCTCTTTGCATCTGCCTCCACGCGATTCTTGCCATATTTGTACTGCTCTGCATCTGTATGTATGGGATTGTAGTTATTTATGGTTAAATTAACAGTGAAACTCTATTCCCTGAGACTGAACATCACATGAAGCATTTCGTGGTTTGAGAAACCAGTTTACCATCCCTCTTCCACCGACTTTCTATCATTTCCTGCTGAGTATTGCAGCACAGCTACAGAAATGACGTGGGATAGATAGTTTGTTCTCTACATTTAGAGGGGGAAGATGAGAAATACCAGTTACCTTATAGTACATTGGGTTTTGAAACTTTCTCTGTAGGAAGGAAAGGAGGCTCCTCTTTATCTTTGAACCCTTGATTTTTAATTGGAACGGGTCAGAGGAAAAGTGACCTGCTACCTGTTTGCCCTTTTTGACTGCTTTCCATTCCTACTTCAAGTACTTAAAGCACGTATTTTTTTCTCACCTGACATAAGAGAAGACAATGATGTTCTCACTTTTTTGATACTTGAGATTTATTTTTTTTTTTTCTAATGTCCCTATATAAATGCTTTGCTTTCATGGCTCACATGTAGCTGTGGTCTCATTTATATCACAGCCCCCTCTATACCTCTGCCCCAGCTGCAGACTCAAAGAAAATAGGTCAGCTAACACTTCACTGTCTGTCAGCATGAAGGCAAAGTCAAGGGCACTAAACCATTCCTGACAAATAGTTGTCAAACCAGTTTTAGCTGGTCTTTAGTAACCAAGATGCCTTTATCCCACAACTATCTATTCCAGTACCGATTGACCTGCCTGGTTAGAAAGATACATACTTTTTTCCTAAAGTCTAACCCAAATTTCTCTTGTTGCCATTAAATCCACAACTTCTTAAAAAATGTATCATGGGATCGAAAAAACCACATTCATTCCTTCTCTAGAAGAAGCTGTGCTTTTGGCTCCATATTTACGACTATAGCTCTTTTTTGTCTTTTCTTCTCTAAACAAAGCAATCCCTCTTAGGGATTTCCTACAGGCAATCCACCTGCCCAGAAGAACCCTCTTTCTGAACGTCCCACTCACCAATTCAAATCACCTCTCTCTGAGGAAGCTTTTCAGCTATGTGGTTGTTTTCATTATTTTGTTATATCTTTTTCATTAGTGATAAGAGTAATTCCACTTTTGAGCAACATCATAATTTCTTTCCAGCTCCTCATCTTCTTGTTCCAACAGGAATACAGAATTACTCTCTGTCCCAAATGAAGAATCATTACCCTTTTATTTTTTTTCTGCTGCCCTCATGACTTTGCAGCCACGGGTCCACAATTCATATTTATGGTTCTTCATATGACAACCCTTTATCTCGTGGCACAGCTGGAGTACTAATGAGTCACCAATGCACACAACATCTCCTATTCAAAGTCTTGGTGGGCATCTCCTGCTCGGCCTCTCAGCCACAGAAGAACCACTTTATCTCCTTTGCTAAGACGACAGCTATTTTGGGTATCCTCATGACTCCATTCGCACGCGAGGCAGCAGCGAGGAGACATACTTACTGGACGCGGTGCGCTTCACACATGACACCGATTCAGATTTCTTCGGCTGGCTATTTAAAGGTCTCCCTTTTCCAGTGATCCCATTAGCAGTCGCAGGAGGCTTCTTGCCTTTAAACTGTTTGAAAACAAAAGTACAAATGGGCTTCAGCTATTCCTGTGCCACTGGCGTTACAGTCACTCTTTCATCAAGGGCAAAGCTTGACAAAAAGCTGCCTGCTCGGAGAGCCTTAATACAGCGTATTGATTGAGCTGGAGACGGTGCTTCCTCCAGAGATGTCGTCTCTGAGAGCTGCCTGCTCAGCAGGAGCCACGCTAGCAGTCACAGGATAACAAGGGGATGAACTCCCCATCTCTGGTGGCATTACAGTCTCCTAATTATTCAAAACTCTGGCACTTCTTATATTGAGAAAGCCATTGGGAGGCAGAAGAGTTGTACCTTTGAATAGTTTTATACAGTAAAGATTCTTGAAACACAGGTTTGTCAGAGTTAATTTCATACAGAAAACCCAACATGGTTTGCCCAACAAAAATTCAACACTGTTTCTTATTTACTATATGACCTTGTCATCCTTGTGGTGCATGGATTTCTTTTTTTTTTTTCAAAGCAATATAACTATTTCATATTTTTAAATGTTAGGAGTTAAGATACCGATTTCCTCTGATACAACTTCTAGGTACTAATTAAAAGTTTTTCTTCCTTTTAGAGGGCTCCCCTGCACTGAACTGAACCCTGGGAAGAGCAATGCCATCCTTGATGAAACGCAGTGTTTCCATGGGGGATGCCTGAGCTGAGCACAGGGCATATGTGTGCCATGCTCTGGTCACCTCCTTCCAAGAGCTTTTGGGGACCGAACTGGGAGTGCAACGAGAAGCCTACCGCTGCAGCCTAGATCGCTCAAATCTGCCTCTGATTCTGCAGCTTCACCAAATTCTAATATTCCGATATGAAGTTTTTATAGGGGCTGAGTTAAAATGCAATGTGACAGGTGCCTTATTCAAGGGAACCACTTATCTAACTGCTCCATTTCAGATGAAATTGAACCCCCCCCCCCATCTTTGTGATATAGTCACAGGCTTAGGCCAATGACCAGCCTGTGGAGACTGGCTACAGGCTTTAGAGAAGGTCCCTGGCAAGGCTGTGAGTGAGGTTTGCTCTGCTCCCCAGCTGGGGTTTGCCTGTCTGCTACTGAGGCTGAGCCTACAGGATTTCATCGCTCTTTAGCTTCACTTTCATTTCAGCTGCAGTCCAGGAGCCTGAGGCCATCCTCAGAAAGCAGCATAGACATAGGCTTAGGTTTTTTTCAGGGGAAGAAAATAACAGGCAGTAATTTAAAAATGGTGTATACACACTATATACAATATCATTTAGTATAGATATATGTTATGATATATATGTATATTCACAATATATATAACCATAGTATATACAATATACAGATTAGTAAAATTCCAGAGATGCAAATTTGCTGTCACAGCCCGGTCATATTTCACTTTTCTATTTTTTTTTTAAGTCATCACTGCCTAAGGAGACAGAATGTGGCTAGATATGCATTCAGGTTAAGTTTGGAAGGCCACATCTAATTTTTTTTTATTATTATTATCCACAATCTGTAAATCATGCCTTTCCCAGGTGCCAATACTTCCACATCAGCATTTACAACTTAGGAAACCTGTTTCATTTGCAGTGGGCTCGTGACTAAACGCCAAACTCTTCAGTGCGAACACTAAGGGACTGAAATAGCCCAAGGCCCTTAAGATAACAACCAGATAAACAGAACAGCCAAAACATAAAAAGATTTGTTAAGTATTAAATAGTACAGTACCTGCGAGCCAGATCCCCTCCCCACAGCAGAGGTATTAGTGACAGACTGAGCAGAAGACAGATTGGATGAGACAGGGTATTTGTAATGGTTAGAGGAGAGTTTGTCAGTAGATAACCTATTGGGTTTTCTGTCAGCTGGCGGATAGCGCGCAAAGATTTTTGGAGACGGCAAGTTATCGTACAGGCCTGCGTTATCATAAAGCATTTCTTCTCCAACGTTCCTGCTACGAGAAGAAGGAAAGCCATCTTCTGGTTCCCACTGCAACACATACACTTTGGCAGTTAGTAAACAATAAACCATGCAGAACCTCCTAAGTGAAATTAAAACATTAGTAATTCCTTTGACCGTAGCAAGCCCTCGGCGTTTAGCAAGCATATGCTTATTGCTTACATTTGAGTCAAACTACTTAGAAAGGGGGGGAGGACGCGGTGTGGAAAGGAAGCATTGCATTACACGGCTCGTAGCCTCACTCCTGTGCACCTTCTACACTGTGAGCAAACCGGTACTGTCCTGTCACCCGTTCCTGTGTCATAGACTGCACCTTCACTTGCTAGCTCCAGCACGGAGGGGGCACAAGCAGACTGTGTTAACAGGGGCATACTCACAGGCTACACAGGCGAATCCGCTACACAGATTACATCTGGTACATGAGTTGTTAAAAGTAATAAGGCCTAACGGTTAGCAGAAGCCAAGGGGTTTTTTCTTTCTTTTTTTTTTTTTTTTCTTTCTTCAGGCTATATGTCTTTCCAGTGAATACCAGCTGTTGGTATGCTAGCATTACATTTATTTGCTGGAGAATTATTATTCTGAGCTAACCAGCTTAAATAGCTACAGGCCATTCTTTTTTTTTTTTTTTTTTTTCTTTTCAGAAAAATGGAAAGCTCAACAACAATAGTCCAGTGATTCATTCAATTAATCTTAAAAGAAACCAACCTGGTTGCCAAATATCCTTCCTTAATCCACCCTGGCTGTGGCAGTACACTACTCATAGAAAGTCTTGCGCACGACCAAGAACTACACGTACAGAGTACTCACCACACATGTGGTCGTGTGTTGTTTCCAAGAGGGGCTTTCTACCATCTTTCTGACATTACTAAGACACGATGGAGGACTAGACTTGCAGTCCACTTAACACCTCGAAACTCTGAATTTCTCCTGAGTTCAGCCATAGTGGGGGCCTTTATGAAGCAGCCCAAATGAAGAGCTGACACAGGTTGTAGCTCCCCTGCAAATCTTCCTGAGAACCACATATTGCTATGGGTTAACATCCACTATGTGTTAAACCCTATTACACATCTGCCTACGATCAGCTCTCCAACTTATGAAGGTGGAAGTGACCACTGTGGTTCTCCTTTGGGATAAGCGGTACCTGCTGTCATAAGGAATGCAGCCCCAAGGACTGAGAAGTGTTTGGATTTTGGGGTTTTTTTCAACAGACACCAAAAAGTGCCTGGTGTAACTGAGTCCTTAATTTTGCTGGTCCGGTGTGATCTTAAAAATACCCCCTCAAGTGAGTATTAAATTCAAGGACTTGGCAACAATCGTCAACAGGCAACTGCTTTCTACGTGCACCTTGGCTCACGTGCAGGTTAATGTAAACAATATGTCCCACACCCCTAATACTCTGTAGGTGTGAGAGAAGTTTGTAGCCCCCAATCAAAAAACCAGGAGTTCATTTGGAAACTGCCCAGTGGGGCTTTTTAGATAATATAATTTTCAGATGTCCATGCATTCAACACATGCAAACCATTTGTTCTGTGCAAATTCAATTCTTACCGATCCATTTATGCAGGGAACATCATCGTAATGAAGTGCCATTCCACTCGGACAGGCGTACCCATTGGCAGTGCTTCCCCGATACGGATTTGTAGATATAACTCGCCTGTTCATAAAACTGAATAAAGCAAAATAAAAATAATAAAGACCAGTGCTTGAACCTAAGTCTAAATGATGATTCAGTGGTATATTCCCTGTATCTGATTATGTAGCCTGGAAGCACATATCTTCTCACTTTCTGCAGGAAAGCTGCAGACAGCTTTCCTTCTTTCGCTACTCACATGTTGTTGCTAGGAGCCAACATTACAATATATTGTCCTGTACTCCATTCTTACAGTGGGGATAAGACTGTGTGAAAGCCAGGAGGGCAACAGCTGTAACTGCTCAGTGGCATGTTTACATAGGAACCTGCTGATCCGTGTTACAAACCAGCTCGCCAGTCTCCCATAAAAGTTCCCTCGTTGTCTGTGTTGGGGAGAAGCAGGTGTTTCTGGGTGCATGCATGCAGGGCGGGATGTGGACTTAGGAACTGGGAGCAACAATTACACAATCCAGTAAAAATCTGTAAAAAAAGTCAAACTTTGATGAAATCTCAGTTCAAATACCTATCAAAATTTGCTGAATATTTTCATCCTCAAAATCTGGGAGTTTTTCATTTCCATATCAGAACTTTTGGCTGGGTAGAGTGTGCACAATGGCACTGTGCTTCCCAGCTCTCTGTCTGGGTAACTGTGCATGCAAATACTCTGTATGTTCGTGCTTGCTCTGTTTCACACAGTGAATCTGAGACCTCTGAACACTTCAAAAGGGAGATATCTCTCTCTCTATATATATATATGTTCATGTTTGTTTGTTTGTTTCCCCCCCCCTCCTGAAAAATCAACATTGCAGCTTGTTTTACTGGAAATCTGCAGAACACATGCAAGATGTCATGGACTACAACGGGCTTTGCGTTGGGAGCAAAGATCTAGCAATGCAGAAAATGGCAGAATCAGGCCCAATAGCAATAACAACTCCAAGGGTGAGTTTTCCTTTATAACAACCACTGAAATTGAACGCAGTACAGAGATCCCAAATAATTCCTATAGCTTCAGGTGTAGGTGAATGGGAAAACAAAGCTTTCCATCTCAAACAATGGAACTATTCAGGCTTCATGCTGACATTCATAAAATATGATAAAGCCCTACTAAAGCAGAGAGGGTCTTCTGTAGCGCTGGCTGGAGCTCAAGAATGCTGTGGTTTCAACAGTTGCTTTCTTTTGGCTTTGGAATAACATGGAGTCCCTTGAATATCTCATTCAGCATTCAGCGGGAGACAGCCCTCATCCAAGTGTGGCTCACCTGAGCCGCGGGAGATCCGGGCTCACAGGAGGGATGAACCTGCCCAGTTCGGTGTGAACCTTTCCGGGCAGGGCAGGGGTGGAATAATCATTAGACAGAAGCTTTTCTTACTTCAAACAAACAAACCACAAAAAAGCCTAAGATAAATTCCATGATAAAAATGTTTTCAACTTTATCATATCTCATACTTTATTAGAAGTTATTAAAGGGCTGCCTTTGTTTACTGTTCCTCTTAATGAAGAACATTACTCAAGTGTTTCTGGTTAGTCTGAAGGACTGCATTTGAAGCCGTTATTGCATTTCCTTCTATTTAAGTAGCTTCAATAACAGTGATGCATAATAACCATGCCTGAAAACTGGATATTCATTAATGACATCTGATGCACCTGTAGTAACTATTTCCACCACTAAAGGAAGCTAAGATTTATCTAAATATCTGCAAACACTTCATAAACATTATTTCACTAAGCATCATTAATCCTGTTTACAGATGCACCCATGTAAGTTAATTGTATTCTGAAACTGCTAGATGGGAAAGCAAATGGAGATGACCTGCTTGGAAACATTTTTTTCTTCTGCCTTTCCTAGATACTTCATGATTTAGGCAAAGAAAATTGATGGGAACATTAATGAAGAGCCAATCATTTTGCAAAGTATCAGTCTCAGGAAATGAATAACCAATAATCCTGAAGTGATTGTGTGATAATCAAAGCTTTAATGATAACTGCAGTTGATTTGGAATGCTGATAGTCATTCTATAAAGGGCAGCAATAGTATTTTATTAATACTTAAGTATTATTGTCATTTCTCCTCATTTTCTAGAAGTAGTTGAAAATCAGCAGACAGCTACTCTACAAGAGTAGCTTATCAACAAGCTCTTACAGTCTTTTAAAGAAAGACACCCAATGAATTTTAACTAATTCTTAATAGGGGAATTCTGCTATTTTGCAAGTTGCTTGACATTCCTTTCTAACATGTGGTCTAGTTGCATATGTTTTTTCACTTGGCTCCAATTAATATTGCATTTGTTCAGTATTCAGGAGGAAAAGGTTTCCATTCTGTTTCTTTCTTAAATGTGGTTATTGCTAGATGCTGACTGAAGCAAAAATACATGTCAACACAGGATAAACATTTTGAGCCCTAATAAATTCTAAACAAATATTAACAGAAGTCTGTAAGCGAAGTGCATTTTGATTCTACCAAAATTATCTGGTTTTCACCAAACTGGGCACATAGTAACACCAAGTCACTTTGATTTCTATCAGAAGTCATTCAAACCAGATCCTGTATGAAGCTGCGCATTTTCCCTCGTTAAAGCTCTCTTAACACCTCGCAAAATGGCAGGAGAGTCTTCTTCTGAAAAACTCTGAAGTTTTTGCCTGGTGGTTGGGGTTTTTTTGGCATTTTCAGTCTGCTTAAAGTTATGATGGGCAGATGGGGTGTGATTCTTTAATATATTAAGTCACACGAATTCCTAATTTGTGTGGGGAGTCTCATTTTGCAGCGAGATGAGGTATGACGCCTTTGCCAGCTGTCTTCTCAGGCCACCCACTTTCTGACCCGGGAAACCACGAGGTACGTTGGCAGCAGGACATCCTGCCTCTCCCAACTGTTCCTTCACTACTGGTTCTAAACTATATCTCATCCAGCCAAGGAAAAATGACAGTGTCTTCCCACCAAAGACTGCTTTAATGCTTAAATTGATTTGAACATGTAAATCACTATATATGCTAAGTATGCATTACTTTTCTTAGCACAGGATCAGTAATGGAGAATTCAAAGTACTGATTTGTAATTTAAATAGGGTTCCTGTGCTACGCCCTAGACAGCTTCCCAATTTCCACCTCCTAAATTAAAAACCCAGAAATTAATTGGACTAGTGTGAGCTTGATGAAGTTTTTAATTAATCAAAAAAAGACCTTGAGAAGGAAACACAGAGAATGCAACTATCCAAGACTTAAATCTGCTACACATTCTTAGTGTACAGCATACATTGGCCAATACATGCTGTACATATTGGCTATCTGTACAGCAAAGAAAGCCAATAGATAAATGTGAACTACATAGCTGCATATTTATTTAATTTTCAGCATATTTATCCTCTTCCAGGGATAGTTCTAAGTATTCAGGCAAAATAAAAGATTAAAATATAGCATTTGATAAGGAGACTTACTGAAAAAAATGAGTAAAGATTTGAGTAAAGTTGGACAGTGTCTGCATCTTTTACAGAACTAGCAGGATGCCAACACAATAATCATAAACACATCTAACATGCTGCGATGCTGAAACACTTCAGGAGTTCAGTATCTGGCAAAGGGGGGGGTGGGGTGGATTTTGATAAGGCCTCTTGGCACCCAAGTTAACATACGGATATAAATTCTCAGAGTACTGGAAACACCCGGGTAGCTGAATGCCTCTCACCAGAAGGTCTGTTTTGCAGCCTGGATGACGCTTGCCGTCATTTCCACGTCGATGTAGTCGTAGTGCAGAGCTCCAGGGTCTGTTGAAGATCCCGTTTCTGCCAGCAAAATTCCTATCCATCTGCCCATGTCTTCGGAGGAGGTTGCCTGCAAGGAGAGGGCAAAAGTGTAGGTCAGGTCTTTACTCTGCCGCTGAGCTGAGCATTATTTCAAAACGGCGCATTCTTCTTGGCTGACAAATTGCTGCCACATTGTATGAGAGGCTCTGGTTTCTCTCTGGTGAACTCCTAAAACCCCAGGATTTCTTATTAAATCTGCTTTGCTAGAAGGAGTGCACTTTAAGTAAGCTATGTGCTATTCAGTTATGATGTAATACAAAGTAGGCAATCTCCAAAAAAAGAAGAAAAAATAATTGTTTAAGGCTAGTGGATTTAGATTCAAGTCATGCTTATTTTAGACTTTAGAAAATTGAAAGCTATAACAGAATTATTTCCCTATGCTAGGCTGGAGGATTTTAGTTAGGATGACTCCTGAGAAGCACATGTTAGTGCTAAGCAGAAACGAGGAAAAAAGTAACGAGATAGTAGAAGAAATTTTAGTGTTGCTTTTTGAAAAATTCCAATACATTTTTCTAGATGATAGCATTCATTTTCCTAATGGCACCAGTACAAACATGAATACTATTAAAATAATGTTTAATTTTTCATATTTTCCTTCAAGCCACCAATTACAAAGTTAAACAGCAGCAAAATAAATAATGGAAAAAAGGGGAGCGAGAAACTGCGGTTTCTAAATTTCTTGTTCTTTTAAAATATTTCATTGCCTTTCACAGTTCCTTGAGCTGCTTTCTAGTTTTTCAACTTGTCTGAACTGCTCAGATGGGCTGGCTGCAGGGACAGGGGACTAACGTGACCTGCAGTTGGAAATCCAAAGGAGTCAAAGTGTCCATCCTGCCACTGAAAACAAAAGGTTGTCTCCTCCTATATAGTCCTTAAATCCTATATTTGGATTTAAGTGTCTTCTCATTTCAGCTTTCAAAATACGATGAATGAAGCCCATCAGAAGATCCTGACCCTCCTGATACAGATGCAAGTATGACCTTTGTAGTGCGAGGAGCATGCCAATTTCTACACGTGCAGTGTCTCAAGAGACTCACCAGGATGCTGGCACGCTGAATTTTCTTACTGCAGAATTACCTTAATACGGAAACAGACTGAGCAAAAGTAGTTCACATAAGTAGCAGACAAATCAGAGTTAAGAGCTCTAGAGTTCCCATCAACAGTGATCCATTATTTAATTATTGCTAAAAGTTATTTACTCAAAGTAATTATATCCCTGATGTAAAAGTGCATATAGAGAAGGAACAGGGATATTTAAGTAGCAAGTCAAGGGAAGGTCGGTGTAGAGAAAGGCATCTTACTGAGAAGATATCTGAACTGCATTTTCCCTACAACTCTTCATATTTTTTTTCCTCCTTCCAGTATTTATTACCCAGCTCTGCAGGAACATTATTCCAAAGATTACTTTTTTTAATGGCTAGGTTGTATAAAAGTGCTTCTCTAACTTAGCGTGTGGATGTTCCTACAAGTCATAGCCATTAGTAACCACTGCACCTCGAGCACAGCAACCTCCTGCCCGTTCCGGAGCAGGCGGAAGGTCAGGGGATGCTTCGAATCCAGTCCCGGGATGACTTCACAGCCACGGAGAGGGATAGAAACAATGTGCGTCTTCAGATCTGTCCTGTCCTTGTGGAAAATGAGTTTATTATCTTTCACTCTGCACCAGCGCTCACGCCAACGGTTGTTTGAGAGCACGTTGAGATATCCTGCAATAAAATGAAATGTGAGATATTTTACTCCTGACGTTTTTTTGAAAAGAAAAAACCCAACAACTTACTTTCCAATGTAATGCTAGCACTTAACTTATTCCTCTTATAATAGAAAGTTCAGATGGATTTTAGGAAGACAAGTAAATGACACTGCCCCACTTCTTTAAATGAAAACTTTCACTGTGCCAATAACCTAGGAAAAAGCATATAAAGCCGTGATCCTGCTCACGTGCAAATGGCTGTTCTGTGTTAGTCACTGCAGCAGCTAGATGAACGAGAGGACACCGATCCCCAAACTTTGGTAAAAATGGGAGAGGGACAGTGACAAAAAAGTATGGATGCAGCCGATGTGCTCACACAGAAGATCCACCTTCTTCATCTGTAATGGCTTTGATAACTGTGGTTGATCAAAATTTTCTGGGAAAATCACAGCTCATGTTATATAATTAGGTGATGAACTACCTTTTGTAACATCCAAAAATCAGTGTTTTAAAGACCTAGTAAGCATTGATGTTATATCTTCTAATTTCATTTAGAAAAAGAATGCACGCTTGGTTTCCAACACTTTTAAAGCAGAATTAAAAGATCACTACTGATGCCAATAAAAATAAAATTCATATTGGTTTAAAATTCAAGAAGTAAATGTATATGAAATTTAGCTAAACTTTAAGACAAAAATTTAAACAAAGATTCATTTTTTTTTCAGGGATAAGACAGTACCCTTACAACAAATCAAAATTTCATGAACAAATTGCCTTTTAAAAAAAATCTGCTTTTCTTATGCTCTGTATCGGTTACAGTGTCTAGGCATATAATATCATTACATGGGCAGTGTTTTGTGTTTTTCCTTCTCTGTCCCATAGCAACAATCATTCCAGACTCAAACCTTAAAATCAAGACAATACCCAATTTTCCTGCCTTATTTAGTTTGGGAATGAAATAAATTTTAAAAAATTTACTTTTACTTCCACATTACAAAGGGTAAAGCATGCTGCTGCTTCCAAACAGGCTATGAGGAGGGAAACAAATGATATCTTGCACAGGCCAGAATTTATGTAAAAAAAAAAGTCTTCTATCTCAGGTCTGATTTTCATTTAATCCTGTTGAATAGCTATCTCTTTGGTTTTCATTAAAACTATGACTTATCATTAATTTTTCTGTGTTTCCTTTCCAACATTATGGTTCCAATGTCAAAGCTTGATCCAACAGGATATAGCAGATCAGAATTGCGCACATCTTGGAAGGTGCCATAAAAAAAGGAGGATGATTTTGGCTCCTTGTGATGATGACTCTCTCCAGCTCTCCTCTCTTCCCCTGTAACGAACCCCTATATAGCTGTGCATTATAATATAATCCCTAGAAATGGAAAACCCTTCACGTGCAAGCCAGCTGGCTTCTTTTGGCGTGAGAATCCTTTTTTTCAGACACTAATTTTTTTTTCCCCCTCTGCTCCCAATGCACCTCTCAGAAAAGCTCTTCCAAAACCTCCTACTTCACTTGAATTAAGCAGGATCCCATGCTTTTCCTCCCACATATCCCTGCTTAAACCTTCAGTAGCTGAGATGACCAAAATGCCTTGAGTGTGTTCCCAGTTGGGGCATCAGCACTTCAGCTTAGCCCAGGCGGTCAAAGACCAGCTTTGCCATGACTCCGAGTGCAGGTGGGTTTTAGTTTCCACTCTAGCTGGGTGTCCCCTGCAGCCCCGCTGGGCTTTGTTCATGGGAGGTAGAGCCTTTTGAAGTGTAAAAGCCTTCAGCTATGGAGCAACCTCCCAGAGGGCATTGCCCTGAGGCAAATTTCTGGTGGTGAGAAACTCCTTCTGCAAAGACTTCCTGCAATGACCCAAGCCTAGACGCTTATATATTTTCCTATAAAACCTGCAAGTGGTGTTGAGTAGAGTCAAATGCAGGCAATAGTAATGGCTATATTTACGTCCATATCTGAAATAATTATAGAAATACTAAGAATTAGATCGTACAGCTGTGGTTAAAGTCTCACATATTACAGAATAATCAACAGAGTACGAGACCCAGGAAGTTTGAGCTTTTATGGAAGCCAGATGCTTCAGACAATGCATGTGGCTGGACACAGCTTTTCCCAGCTGTTCTTTCAGTTGATAAATCACATCTGTACTTAGCTGATGTATGGACATGTATACACACACTTATTTAATCAAAGATTGCTTATGTGAATGATTCCCAAAGTGTGGCTTGAGAGCCACCTGTGATCTATGAAGTTCTCGCTGGTAGTCTACAGATCTGCTTCTTTCTCATTCGGCAAGCATCTATCACACTTCATGCACCAACAAGTTTTGTTAACTGCTGCCTAATCACAGATTTCTGGGTTTCCCAAAGTTTTCCTAGTTGATTAAAGGGGAAAAGACAAATCAAAATTCAGAATCTGGTGCAACTGCTTCACAGCTTTCCTTCTGGAAATTTTATTTGGAATGGACTGGGAGAAGGGTGGGTTCAACCTTATTCACGTGTGGAAGTGTTACTTAATACTGGAGCACCAAAAGGCAAACAGGAGAATGTAAATACATTGTATTGTTTGAAAATACCAGAGCTATGAGGACATCAGCTAAGTGCATTGCACAAAGTCCTAAATTGTGAGCAAACATTAACAGCTAAGATATAAACCATAAGCATTTTCAGCATCCCTTTTTATATACTTCCTTGGTGCTGTCAAGCACTGCAGCTGTTGCAGTTAAAATAGCTTACTAGAAATTTGTTACTTCACTCAAGTTTTGCCCAATATGCGCCACTTTATGAACCCACAATTAAACTCAAATCACTTTGGCTGAGGTCAGTTGACCATTGTCTTGATTGCTGTCCCATAAAACCTCACCACAATCCATCATAAAAGACTAGATCCCTTCCCACAAACCTTCTTCTAGTTCCTAGACTAAATTTATTTCATAGCGCAGCCTATATTCATTTTATATCCATTTGTTTGAAGACAGGTCTTGTTTCTTTCTGCTTTTGTCCATACTTCTCTTCCCCCTCACCTTTTCAAAAAGCAATGATATTCCTTCTGAGCCTGTGTTACCATGTTATTTAAAAAGTCAAGTTCTTCTAGTCTCTTTTCAAATGATAAGCTCTTGATTACTCCTCTTTCAGTCTAAGTGCATCCTTCTGATGTTGGGGAAAGAATTACAGCAGTAAAAGTAATTTTAGAGGAATTTCTAGGTTAGAATTTTAGAAAGTTTTAGTTGCAATGCGCATTTAAGACTCAAGGAGAAAAATCACTTACCACATGTTGGAACATCTTCTTCAGCTGATGAGGTCTGTTCATCTGTTGATGGCTTTTTCTTTCCTAAACCAATGATCTTCGTTATTTTTTTCCCTGTTACTTTAGTCACAGTGCCTTTAGCTTCTGATTTTGAACTTTTTTTCCTCTTCACTATTAAGAAAGCAAAAATGTGTATTTTAGTGTGTTTAAATTAACCAATGAATAGAGACAACCTGAATAAAAATAGTAGTTCAGATAATCTTGTGCAAGATGGACATTTGTACAAAAGTTGCAGACTGCAATGAGATAAACATTATATGCCCTCTCTAATGCAGATGACTATAAATAACCTCTGTGCTATAAAAATCACGGCATTCAGAAGGTTCAGAAAAACAAAAATCAGGCTTGTAATTTAATTTAATCTAATCAAGCTGAAAGTCTCTTTCCACAGCAGTCATGATCTAATTTATCAGTATGACTAAGGTACCTGCATATAAATTCAGCTCATATACACAAAAATAAAAATCCAGCCAGATGATGCTAAACATTTACCTCAAAATACTTCAACAATTAAGTGCACAACAAAGACAGACTATGCTTGCCTAGCAAAAATACTCCTGCCATGTACAATTAGGTTAAGGTATCTTATCACACTGGACCTTTTAGAAAGTCAAGACTTATAAATTAACTACTAACAAGTAAATTAGTGGGATCAGTATAAGCATTCAATGGTTAGAAGCTGGCGCTTTTTTTGATCATGAGGGCTTGGAAAGAAAAAGCTCTGCTGAAAAAAGGTATTTTGCTAACATCCAGTCTATGCTTCCATTAACTTAATAAGATACTAGTAGTATTAGGGCTCTGTGCACTGAGGCATGCTGAACTGCTGAACACAACATGGCAAGGACTATGGATATAATTTTAAAAAGTGCCTACCTGACTAAAATCCTAACAAATTAAAGAAAAAAAGTTTCTAAGATTAAACAGAATCAGAAAAAAAGACTTTTTATTTGCAAAACAGAACAAACAAAATAAACTTTCAGAAATTGCATTCACTGGCCTAATTTGGATTCCGTCAGCAGAGCAAAGTCTCTCTGCTACCTGACAGGGCAGCAAAAATACCCATCAACTTGCCCTGGTACATGATTCTGATGAAAAATACAATTAGGATAGTTACCGCTTGAGCTGCTGTAACTTTATCCCTGACATATCAATTCCCTTTGCAACAGAGAACATTTAGTGGTTATGGACTTGTGTAAACTGAGGAAAAAAAAGGACAAAATGTTCATATGAGAAATAATTATATGAATTGATGAACTGGGATGAAGAATGCATGGAAAACAAAGAAGTAGTTTGGGACTCACAATGGGATAATTTATCATATTTAGTTTAATTGTTAGGAACCAGGGAACATTATTTAGAAATTGTATCTGTAGCCAAGACTGTATGAACCTGTCACTGCTGCATGCGGTGCTGAGGGCGAAAGGAAGCGCGTGAGGCGCAGGTAGCTGTTTGCCAGCAACCTCCAATACAGCGACGCGCACGTGCAAGCAAAGCTCTAATTCTCTCTTCCTAAGGGAAGGGTGCTCACAACTTATGTTGTGGTCTCTAAAAGTGCAATGAGCTCCGGTGTTGAAGGGAGGAAGGCCACCCATCCCATCTGCTCTTCCTGAGGGAAGACCCAGAGGCAGCACCTGCCCACAGACAGGTTTCCATCCCACGCAGCGGCAGCCAATGTCCAGCTGTGGCTGTTGAGTGGGGAGGAGATGAAAAGCACTGAAAAAAGCCAGTGACTGAGAAAAACTCATCTCTCTCAGACAGAATCCCAAAGGAACCATTGTGAGGAGCATGAACAGCAGTGGAATAAGCCCATTTCAGTGCTTTTTTGTTCTTCTGTCCTATCTTCCCTTCACACTGCTGTTTTATTTGCCTGCAGAACTGAGAGGCAGAAGAAGTCAGTCCTTCATGACTTGATCTTTTTGAGTCTAAAGAATATATTGATTGCTTGACTGCCAGTGATTTTTGTCACAAAAGCCTTTTCTTCTCATTTCCTTCCCCACAGCAAAGCGAGCAGCTGGTTAAGAGCGGAGTAGAGGCTGGCCGATGGGTGATGCCTGGAGATGACTGCTTTCTGAGTGTCCCTTCCCACGTACTCCCTCAAGCGTTTCCTATCCATTGTTTAAAAAAACAGTGTAACTTCATCCAGAACCACTTACAATGATGCCAGGGATGTTTCAGTCTCCTTGCAGTCATTAATGCCTTTTTTTTTTATTACTACATATTGAAGGTCACAATTTTCAAAAGCAACTGGTATTTATAATTATCCTCCTTAAGATATCTAAGCTGGGCTGGTTTTCCAGCAGCACATGCTCAATCAGCATGTATCTTGTGGGGCACCTGAGCCACCGGGCACTTTTGGACACCTTGGACAACACAGCTTTTGGGTCGCAGATGTTTCTCAGCAGGTTTCAGAGGCTAAAACAGTAGTGTACTTTTTGAAAGCTTAGTAGAAGATTTTATAGGGTGAAACCTAACCGTGTAGCACAACTTCTAGAAACCACAAAAACTGACTTTGTTCTATACTGTGGGGTATGTCAGAGATCTGCATAGAGGTAATGTTAGAAAATGACCCAGGGAGAAGACGAAGGAAATGAGTCAAAAGGCGAGACAGAACTGGCACCAAGGCCACTATTGACATTCTGCTCACTGCAGCTCACATTACCCTCCAGCTTGACAGCTGCAGAAAAAGGTCTTATCTAAACGATACCATTGCTCTATGGCAAGTTAACAAAGTCACAGAATTTTTTCCACTTTGGGGAGCAGAGAGGGGGGGTTGGGGAAGAGAGCATAGGGGTTGAGGTTTTCTATAACTCAGACAAAATTCCCTCTGGGTTTGGGATATGCCTCTGTTTTAGCTACAAAACATGTATGGCTCCAAAGTAGCATATGTAAAATTGTATACATATATTCTCACAAACCCACTGATATTACATGATTATATACATTTTAGTATGCTAAAGTACATAATCATACATAACAGTTTATAGACCTATGTATCTCTGTATATAAACATATATAAACTGTGTATATTTTTGCATAAATACATTTATATACAATACTCATGATTCTTTCCCTCTAGTATTCACTGATAGTTTTTTTTCTTAGAAGCTATACACCCACTATTTATGTTGCCACTATACAGTTACTAAAAGCAACTGTTAGTTGCCTATAGTGGCACCCAAGCTCTAAAAATCTTTGAACTTTTGAACACACAAAAGGTCAAATCAAAATGTCTATATTCTGTTTCCTTATACTAATTATATGGATTTTACCTGCACAACAACAACATCAAACGCCTTCTCTTATTGCTAAATTTTACGGATTCACACTTGACATAATTCAGCTTTCAAATTAAACTGAATCCTTATAAAAATATTCCAAAACTTTACTGCCTATTTTTAAAAGACAAAAGCCAGGTATTTCACTACCTATCGCTCCCTATATGCACATATTATTTACACCAAGCATCTCTGGATCTGAGACGTACCTTGTTCTTTCCCGTTGCACACTGTAGTGATGCCATTTTCCACAGCACCCTCCCCATCTGAGCTTGGCCTCTCAGATGACAACTTCTGCAGGGACAAAGAGGTTAGCTGACATGAAATGCTATAGCACCTTCGCCAAATGAAGTGCCATGAGTCAATCTAAAAGTATGCTCACTGTGAAATAAAACACATTTCAAGCTCTCATTGACTTGGAAGACAAAGAGAAGAGAGTAAAAAATTCAGGTTTACAGGGGTTTTTTGCATTGCCATATAGGCTTTAGAAAAGCACAGAAACCACAAAATAGGTCTATATTTGAAAGTACAGTCAAAACAGTGAAATAATCATAATTCAATACCTCTTATTACACAATATAGTTTTAAATTAATTTCTAGACTCTAAATGTTGCTGTTTATTAATCTGCTAAGCAATGAACAATTGCATAGATCAGATAAGAATAATTTTTAAATTATTTCTTTAAAAAATGCTTCACATACGCATTTACAATTACAACTTATCAGAACATAGTGCATTCCTACATGGTGCTTCAGTACTTTCAATATCTCCAAAAAAGAGGCTTTTGAAATAAATTTTTACACCGATCATTCCGTAATGCTTGCATACGAGATATAGGGTGATGCGGTAAAGAGCTTATGCCAGCACAGTTTTGGTAACCACATTACTCCTGAGTGGTGAAGCCATGAAGAAGATGTACACATTACCACAAAAAAAATGAATGAGAAGTTTGGCTATCCTTTTTTGTGGCAGGCATTTTAGAAAACAACTATTTTATGACACTTTCAGTTACTTTGTTAATACAGGTAATATTGCAGGTGTGTGCAAACACCACAGCTTTTGCTTAATGAAATCAAGAGGTCTGAGCTGTCATGGAACATGCTTTGCTCTTACTGTCCCAGGTGCAATGCAACGTTACACTACTGACTGTAGCATCCTTCCACCACGGGAAGGATGCCATCAGGAATTTGGTGACCAAACCTTTGTCAGTGGGACTTTTAAGCAGGGTCTGCAGAGAGGTTTGCTCACATGGATGTCTTAACTGAGCAGGGGCTTAAGTCGGTGCTGGTAATGTACTGATCATTCACTGCAGGGTTGTTCTCCTTCCTAATTCTTGCTGTCATATCCTGCTGAGTCAAGGCAGCAGAGACAACCCCATGTGAATAGCCAAGTTTCTGTGTTGAGGCATGAATGCTTGAAAAGGCCTGCCAAAACAGTGACATCAGCATGCCCAGGGAGCTCTTCAAGAACTCCATTATCAAAACCAAAAGACTTTCCCTTAAAACTTGTATATAATTTTCAGCTATTCTTCCCTGAGGGTCACATCTCTGCTTGCTCTTTGCACTTGACAGAGAGCATCTCTGCATCACAGCACAGGTATCAGACCTGCTTAGTCTGCACCACAAATGGATAAAGAGAAGCTGCTAGTGCATACGAGCCAGTCTGCTGCTTGGTTGTGACCAAACGAACAGGCACGGCAGAAGTCTTAACTCTGCAGGATGAGTGCACGTATCCAAACAAACAAAAACAACACAGCCTAAAACAGTAGCACGAGTCAGCAAATAGTTATTGAAGATTGCCCCAGAAAATGGTCTAACATGAACAAGTTAATACATTCTGAAATTCAATTTCAGCTTTGTGGTCTGAACATCCCCTAAACCACGCAGTGTGTAGCAGTGCTCTATAACAAACAATCACAAGGAATTTTGCATTCATCATTCTGATTACTTTTTCCAGTTCCGTCTTGTGTACTGGAGAACTAGACAACGGCCCATCAGAGTCTACTGCTCCTGCACAGTTGCTGCACACATCTTTTATAACCTTAGGAGACAAGGCAAAACTTACTAATGATTCATAAAATACAAATCGGAGGAATTACATATGCATGTGAAGGGAGATGGGAAGGAGAATCCCACAGACATTTACTAGGCTGGCAGGTGTCAGGCAGGCTGCCACTACACCAACTTCTTCACGCTGCCTCCCTAAGTCATTTCATGTACGACCTGGAGGAGACATAATGTCTAGAGGTGGAAGGTTTTGGTTTCTAGACAAGCTAAGCTCCAAGGCTCTCCTGAGTAAAGAAAACAACAGTGCTGCTGATTTCCATGTGCTAGTTTTGCAATACAAACTCAGCTGACACCATCAAATTAATTTCATTATGATGATGAAAAAGTGGGATTAGATCCAAGGTCCCACATGTCAAAGGACAAGAGTTTTGCATAATACGCTACCCAGCTGGTGGGTGTTTTTTGCTATTGGAGAACTAATGAAGTGCTGATTGACTTACAGTTAATACTGCGCAGTGGTATTTTGTGGTATTTTTGTATTATACTTGCACGTTGACATAAAGGTATAGGTCACAGTAATTGTAAATGTGTTCTGGGAAATGGGAATGGCATTAAGTCTGCTTTTAAAAAGTTAAAGAAAAATACAGAACCGAATTCACTGAGATTTTGATAGAATTTGAAGAACTTCAAAACCTGAGACTATGTAAGTGTAAAAATATGCGATGAGTAAAGACATTTGATGATTCCCTATGGGCATAATTAAGTTTTTTATCTCTCGTGAGGTTACCACCAGCCCATTATCAGTCTGAAATTGCTTGTGCTGATCAGAACAGGTCCCAATTCTCCATCCAGACTCATGCTGAGGGGATGCTGAGCTCCACACGCTGATTACAGCCATGCAGCCACGTGAGGACAGCAGAGCCAAGCGCGCTAAGGAAGGCATCCTACTCTGCTGGAAGCATTACCGCTAGACGTGCAAACTTTCCCCTTTACATGCACATGTACATGTTTACATATTCAGCTCCTCCCTTCACGGTGTTTACAGCAAACCTGGCTGGCAGAGAGGAGGATCTGGCCTGAGAACTTCCAGTTCCAGGGAAAACGGCAACTACCTAACTGTCAAAATCCAGATTTCTTTAAAGGAGAGGAACACCAAAACAACAAATAACATCTTCTCAGTTTTGAACTGAACAATTTTGATGTGGAAACCATAAAAGAGCTACAGATGGCACCAAACAGTCCTTTCACAGCACTGCAGTTCCCTTGAAGGGTGAAGCTAAACAAATCAAATGTTTATGGGCTTCCGAGATCCTATTGCTCCAACTCACGAGCACGTCACAAATTACAGGCACTATATGCCATAAAGAAAGAAAGAGCACCAGCCCCATTTTACAGATGGAGAACTCAGGAACAAAAGAAAGATTTAATCACTCATTCAATGTCACATAAAAAAGTCTAAGCAGAGCAGGGAAATTAACCTACACTTTTATTTCTGAGCTAGTATCTTAAAACACGTCAGCATCCTTTCTTGACTGAACTTCCCTATATCTTGTCCCAGAAACATAAGCACAGCATTTCATGGCACTTGGTGTCCTTTGTAACAGAAAATTATATATATGTGTCATAGAGCATTTGAACCTCAGAGTTAAACACAGCCCTAAATTCCCCAAAATCATAAGGATTTGTGTGTGTGTGTGTTGTTTCATTTTCAACTGCTGGTCCTCAGTATGGTGTAAATACATTGCTGTTTTCTTCCTAGAGAAATGTGACTGTACAGTTTCTGGGAACATTCATTTCTGTCTCCTGCATGACCCTGAGTCAATGGCTCATGTTTTCAGCATCTGCTTACACCACACAGTTAGTTAATTTTGGCAGAGGCAGATAGTAATGGGAGTTACAGACAGAACAGAGGGAAATGATTTGGCACCACTAACTGAGTAGTATGTGCAAAGTCATGCACTCAAGTAAATCCGGTTCTTATCATGCCTCACATATTTAAGGAGAAGCTAAAGGGTTTAATTGGGTTGTAATTAAATTTTTATTTAAAAAATAACACACTATCAAATGGAAGTTCATGGCAAGATCTGAAGTAAATGCATATTCAAGGATCCAATGCTTCATTTCAGTTCAAGGGGTTCACCGGCAAAGACTTGCTCATCACCTTCTATGTGTGATACAATTGTGTTTGATGCACAGCATAAAACTCATACTTCTACAGCTCACCGGGGTGAAATGCCTTTAATATATAATGGTTGCCTGGATGCACTCTCTGTAATTACGTTTGCAGACAGCTGCCATTATAAATGAGGTTTTCACATGCTTATAGCTTTAACTCAAAATTTTAAGGATAAAACATTCCACCAGTGTTGCCAACTTGCATAATTTCAATCACAAGACTCGGCGTTTTTGTCAGTTTTTTTCTATGGAGTGTCCTGGAGTCATATGAAAACGAATCACTGTTTTCATTAAAAAATAGTTGTGAGTAAGAGTGGGGAAAGGAGGTCAGCAAACTTTCATCCATTGCAATGAAATGTGTGAAAATATGAATAAATGTATCTCAATGGCTCCAACACTAGAACACAAATAAAAGAAATCCCCAAATGTGTTATTTTTAATAAAATGGCATAATCTGGAAGGCTGTACTGAGAATACTTTGCAATGGCGCATACTCCATTAATAGTTTAAGTTTTCCCACACGTTAGAAAAGGGAAATCATTCTCTTTTTCTCACCACAAATGCCTTTGTACATTACATATACATACACAGGGTGATCTGCCAGGAAAATCAAACTGAGATCATGAACAGACTATGTATTCAAATATTTAAAATACACAAGTAAATGTAATCAGAAAACCAAAGACCTTTCATTTCTTTGGATAGCCCCAAAACTAAATAAATTTAGAATAATCTTACGTTATTCCATCGCAAGAATTTTAAATACCACAATTACCATTAGAATGTTACAATTAGTAGACTTCAGAACTGCCTCTTTCAAATGCAGACCTGGGAAAAGCCTGTGAAGCCTGAACTATCTTATTATTATTCCTCATTTATGTTATAGAAAGGTCTTGAATCCCCAGCTGGATCAGGATATACACCAGTGTATTGCATTGACTGCACTGACATGAGGAATAGAGGGGAAATATTTGCAGGTACAAAGCTGGAGAGATTCCCTGCCCCAAGCCATTGACAGAGATGGGTGAAGCCAGTGGAATTTCTGCCACGTGGTGTGCCTGGAATATTTCTCTCTTTAAAACTATCATCTCACTAAGCAAGCACTAACATTTACTATAAAACCATTATACCTACCGTCACCTACACATTTCTATAGTTATTATATCTTATTTTAAATGACACACCATGACTGGAGGCAAAATCCTTACCCTGCATGCAAAGTCAGAAGAATCAAATTATATTTTTCCAGCTACCTTCAAAGATCCAGGCTTCAGATAAAAAGCACAGGTTATGCAGTAAAAGCAGAAAGCCAGCTGCTTGCCAGCCAGACCCTGCCACACAGAAACCCAACAAATTCTGTGTAAAAGTACTAAATTTGTAGCTGGTTCCTTGCAGCTGATCTCTTTGGGACCCAATAAGGAATAAGAGTGAGTCTTCCTGCGTTTGAGGAGGTGGCGGACCTCTCTCCTGGTGGATACCATGGGATGAGGCTCTGCTCACCGCAGAGTTGTCATTACAGCACCTCATCTCGTCTTTTCATGAAACTCACAGGAGAAGCTCACACATTTAATACGATCAAGTCCAAAAGTGATTAGGGAGAAGGTGATGGCCTGACTGCACATTTGCTTCACTTCTGTACGTAACCAGGCTAGAAACCCATCCACCCATCCACCCCCTCATCCCCATCTACCCACACGTTTCACAAACACAGGAATTGCTAGAAATAGGACGGGCTGAATCCCCTGTCTCTTGCTTAACTCTGAAGATAGGAACATGGTAAAGCTGAAATGTGCTTATGTACAACACAGCAGAGGGAAAGGGGTCTGGCTCCAGATGTGACTCGGTGTTTCTCATTGCTGAAACACTCTTTTTTCAGTGCTGGAGGAGTACTGACTTTCTGGGACTTTTTGTCATTTTGTCATGACTAAATTCTCATTTTCTCTCTCTTTTGGACCCTTACACACTACATACATTAGCATCAATCTCCTCCTCCTTAAGAGAGCACCAAAACTCTCTTAGCATTTTTGCAGAGAAGAGATGCCCCAAGGAGTTTACCTAGATAAATTAAAGGAAAAGTAGAAATTATTCACATCATAGTCTATGCTTCAAGTCTCAAAAAGAAACCTCCTTTACCTTCTGTACTGGATAACATCATTCTCCAGCATCCCCTAGCCTGAAAAGATTAATCTTTCTGCCTTATTGCCATTTGTCTGAGCAAAGTGTGGATGAGATTCTAGCAGACTAGCAGCCAGCAAGCCTAGCTTTAGTGCCTGTATATCCCCTGAAAAATACTTCTCTGACATATTCAACCAAGACAACCCCTGTATCCTTTCTCCTGCATTATTACCATGAAGTCTATTGCCATATATGGCCACTGGATTGGGCAGAGCCCAGGGATGGAGGTGCTGGGTGGCTGGGGAGGGCGGCGAGGCATTGCTGCTGCAAGGACAGAGGTACCCCGTGCAAGGGGAGCTGCGTCCCCAGCCCAGGCGGTGCACAGATGCAGATCACACTTTAGGCAATAAATCTGAGCTAGGTATGATTTAAATAATTTTCCATCCAAAGCTGGAAGTAGGAGAGTGGAGGAATATTATCTGATGGTGAAAGCAAGGGATCAAGTCTCAGCCCTCCTGGGTTCTGCTCTGAGATCTGCTACAGCTTGCATTTGTGATTTTAGCCAGGAACTTAAAGAAAACTTATCCCTGAGAAAATAAGCAAATGGGATATTTGTGGTTCTGTTCACTGGTAGTTTTTTGGGGTTGGTTTTTGGGTTTTTGTTTTTTTTTTTAAATTTACATATGCATCTGCATTGTTTTCCATGGTGCCAGTCACACAAAGACACCCTGGTTCACAGTAAGGATGGGGTCCTCGGCGCTGTCAAAGCACGCTGGCAGCTGGTCAAAGCTCTCACACGCAGCTCAGCTGGCACATCTCCAGATCATGCCCTAAACAGTTCTTATGCAAACATACTGACCTTGCCGTGGTTTGCACCAAGGTATCTAAAACCATCTCTTTGAGACAATAGGGGTGTAAGTCCTGGGAGGTTTAATTTAGTTTGCAAAGCTTTCACTGCTGGTGATGATGTGCAGTGAAGAACGAACCCAGTCTGACTGTCTCGGGACACAGTACATTCCTGAAGTTACTTATAAACTAACAAATACTGTATGGAAAACACTTGTACCGAGTATGCATCCCCAAACACACTTTTTCCAGTCAGTTTTAAAGTATGATCATTCAGCACTTGACCCTACTCAGCTACAAAATGGAGATAATAACCTCTTTGGGGAACATTACTTAAACCAAGAAAGTAATGCTTGAAGTGTTTTGAGATCTCTAGCTGGAAATTCCCATAGAAAGTAAAACCAGCCACACAGTGTTTACAGTTACAAGCTCAGTTTTGTGCCGATTTAAACTGGTAAAAGAAGAGTTCTGTCAGTAGTTTATTCTTCAGTAAAACTCAGTTCACGTTAAGACCGGAGCCCAGAAGTTACCTGACTGCCCTCACTAAGCTCAGGGCAGTGAAAAAAAAAAAAAGATGCTTTCAAAGACTTTTATGAGAGATAACATGGAACTATCAGAGATGGAAGCTGTGTAGGACAACCGGATTAACAGCCCTACAAGAGTGTTGCAGGGTCTTTGGATGACTGGATACAATCACAACCTTGATTTTCTTCTCTCTTCAGGGCAAAAAAAATCCCTTTTATTGCAACAGGTTCAGAACTGACTGACCATTGTCAAAATGATAGGTGCAGAAATGTCTACTTATGGCTGAAAGATACACTGCTCATTGCAGACCCTCAACTGAAGAGACTGCTGCAAAATGGCTGCACACCGTATAATGAAGAAAAGTTAACAAAGAGTTAGTACTAATAAATGATAGATTATCTCTCATGCATGATAAATCAGAAATACATATTTGCAGGAGGCAATGCTAAGAGGAAGAGAAGGCCTTGGGACCAGATACCATGACCATATCCTCTTTCTGCCGGTCTTCCACAACAAGCTACTTCAGAACTTAATTTCTTTGGCATCCATGTATTTTTAATATCAAAAGCAGTTTTCTGTGGCCCAGTCTGAAGGTCCTGCACACAGAACACATTCATCTGTATGAATGAAGCCACTAAACAAGCATCTTCTTGTAATGTCATGTTCTTAGTAGTCCTCTTATTTTTAATGTAGCATTTCCCAGGGATGCTGACAAATAAATGCAGTTTCAACCAGTCCGTTGGATGTGCTGAGACAAACAGGCAGATTTAAGACCTTACTTGACCACAAAAGCACACACAGATGCACATATACTCAAGTGCGCATGGAAAAAGCTCATGTTTGGGTCTGAGTGTGTAACTGCACACAGTTTTTCATGTACATTTTTGTGGGAACATTTTAGGACTCAAGTCTGGAAAATTCCACCACTTTATGTTGCCCACCATATTACTGCTATGATCTCAGCTCTAGCCTGAATTTATACTAGTTATGCTCCGTGCTCTGAAAGCTTGACAGGCTCTTTGGTGACATCAGCTATCTTTTTTTCATCAAACATTTGTTAGCTGGTAAACCTGAAACTCCCTTTGTGGTTTCCAGTCTAGACTTCAATTTTCACTAGGTTTATCAGCTGGCTTTTTTGGTGTCATCTTTACAAAAAAGGTCTAAAATATTCTGCATTTATTTTGCACTTGTCTTCCAATAGATTTTTTAAAATTATTTGCTTAAGTAAATGAATTTTATACCGATTACATCTGACTTGAAAAAAAATCATCTGGTTTAGCTTTCATGGGAAAATCCGGCCTCCAAAGCCATTTTGAGCTTTTCAGGCTCAAGAGTAAAGCTTTAATTTGACACTTTTATATATAAATACATGAGAACCCGTTGTTCCTGAGTGATAACCTGGCTCCACTGGCACGTACTGGTAAAGTATTTTTGACAGAGAAGGCCTGTTATGATTTAAAAATGTGGTTGCAGAGACCCTTCTCATTGTTAGCCACTGAATCTGCCCGTTTTATTAACTACAGAAATCCCACGTAGGTGACAGAGCACAGGGGAGGACCCTGCTCCTCTGAGCAACAGGCAGGGAAAGCTCAAACCACGTCTCCCAAGACAAAGCAGTGATCTCTTTCTCACTATAAGAACTTCCTAAACAAAGCCAGACATGATTTTCAGAAGGTCATTTTAAGTAAGGCTTGAATGAACAAAAAATAATCTTTTTCATAATAATAATTAAAAAAACCCTCTAAATTTTGCTACATTTTTAAAAATTCAAAAACAATGCTTTTTTTTTTTTCTCAAAAAGACATACTACTTCTTGTAAACATTGGTGCTGTTGCAAAAGCTGCACAGACCATTTTTGGTTAGCTGTTGGATAGGCAATTTGTACTGCACAGAACAGCATGCAGCTGCAGCAGCGCAGGGGACGTGGAAGTTCAGCGTACAGTAGCATTGCCATGTACTTGAAAGAGTTTTGTTAACAGAGAGCTTTGCACCATGAAAGAACTAAACGAAGTGCTGTCAGGCTGTCTCCAAATGCTTTGCAGATAACATGCTGTCTGGCCATTCACCCTCAGCACATACAACTTCGTTAACATGCAACTGTACAAAATCTTTTTTATTTTTTTTGAAAGGAGAGGAATGCATCTGGGATGTGGAAAAACCTAGCACTGCTCTGTCTGCCTGTGTGGGGAATGCTCTATGTACAATTTAAAAAAAAAATAAAAAAGAAAACAATTTTTATGAAGGAGAGTCTGATAAATGCCAATGAATTCAGCATTGCTAAACCCAAGTTTAGAACAACACAGGAAATAATGGTGCAGTTACTATGATCCAATCATAGCTGAATTCCCTTGGAAAAGAATATGACTTACGAATTTCCTTTCATTCCAATCAGTGTTTTTGAAACTCTAGGTGAGTTAATGAGACAGATGGTGCTAGATTTTAAAACTTAAGATACTAATGTTAGAAGAAGTCTAACAAATACAGGTATGTGATTACTTTCTATTAAAAAAAACAATAAAGAGGGCATTTTCTAAGCTAAGATACAAACTCGCAGTCAAAACCAACCACACACAAACCGCAAACCCCCAAAAGGTATATTCAAATGTTGCAAAATAGGAAATTACAGATTAATTTTCCACTAAGTAAATTAGCCCACAGGAGAACTCAACCCTCTTAAGCTGCATTTTATGTCTCCCTCTTCTGCAGAAAAACTATCTACCATCAGGAAATTCCTACGTGTTTAATTCAATTGTATTTGGAAAAATAGAATTTATTCTTAGAAAAAGAAGTACCATATAAGGTTAGATCACAGCACAGCATGGAGAATGCCTGATGAGTCTTATGCATTCAGACTTTTACATATATTTAAAAGGCTGGATTTCAAGGTCTTAAAACAAGCTACTGAAACTGCAGTGGTAGTTTCCCACACTACTTCACTGACCTCCACATTTAGGACTGGCAAAATCCAACATAAATACTTGTAATCTGGTTAGGATCTAAAACTGCAGCCCTTGCATTGGGATTTTCCACTTCTGCAGACACTGAACAGAAAGGGGTGGCAGATGACAAAATCCCGTTTCTCAGAAGTCCGCATTTCCAGAACCAAGCATAACAGATGATATCCTGCTAAACCAGGATTTGCAAACTTGAGTTGACTTCAGCAAGCTGAAGGATTTTTCTCCATCCAGAGCAATTCAAACAGGTATCTCCTCAGAGATCCTTCTTTTTAAGAAGGTGACTGTGATGTTGGAATGCCCAATTTTTGCAGGGAAGCCTACGGCAGTTCTGTATATATACAACTCCAAAAAGCAACCTGGGTGTCAGCCCCCTCCACCTTAGGGAGTTTGAACCTTCAGCTCACCACCGGTGTGCCCTAACCACCAAAGCTTTCTGGAAAATGAGCTGGAGATGAAAATGGAAGGGTATTTGCCACCTCTCCTCTTGTTGCCAGATTATTTTGCAATTAGCAGTGAAAATCATAGGCAGCCGCAGCAGCAGCAGCTGTGTAATACTGAGCCGCTGGCTGCCCAAGGAGTTGCTTTGGCGCCTGAGCAGTAAGTCTGTATTTCTGCCATCCCAAATTAGATAGATTTAAGTGGTCTGGATCTGCCTGAATGGCACTGGCCGTATCTCAATTTTTAACAGCAACTGAGCAGGCAATGGAAGCACTTTGTGGGTGGAAAAGCTCCTGGTCAGAAATGCCCCCTTACCTTTAGCCACTGTTCCGCCTGCTCTTTGCTCTGGACGGCCAGAACCAGGGCATCCGCTCCTTGGTGCGAGATTTTCAGCTCATGCTTCTTCTTTTTGCTGTCTTTGGGAATGTATGTGATACTGCAGTCATTCAGGAGAAGCTCCATCTGGGGCTGCTGGTCCTTGGAACTTTTGTAACACTAAATAAAAGTACGGAAAGTTCACAAGTTAGATATCAACTTTCTGAGCCGTGGGGAAAATGCTATTTTTTAATTTTTAATATTTTCCGTGCACCCCTTTACCACATACCACAGAGTTCAGCCAACACCAGCTTTGCATTTCTCCTCCTCATCCCCTCTGTAAAGCAAAATTACTTCCAGACTGACATTAATAGATATATTTTATTGCAGGACAGGTACAACATATGGAGAGCATTAAGCTTCTCTGCATTATCCTTATGACTCAACCTTGACCTTGATCAGGTAGGAAGAGGGTGATTTAGGATATAAACTTGTACAGTTAATGACTTTAAAGCCTAGATGCTTTCGCTGCCCTGTAGCAACAGCCCAGCGTATCAAGGCAAACCTCCCCCAGTGCCTACACGCTGCAGCTACAAAGGCGCTGCCACGTGCCCTACTCCACCGTTCTTTTTCTTGAGATAAGTGAAAAAATAGTCATACTGTGGAAAGGGGACAAAGTTGCAGGATGGTAACTTTTTTAGCTAATTCAATTTAGTCAGTCACTGCACAAAACCGCACACATCTCAACGTTAGTTTACTCTGTGAGCTCCTGGATAAACCTATATGACTTACCTGATGTTTTTTCCCTCAGTAGTAAGTGCTGTCAATGAACAGCCATTTCATGCTGGATCACTGATGACCTGCTCTGTGTTTAAATTGGTGATCTAACGATTAGAGGTTTCACGTTACATCACTTGTCCTTTAGACCTCATCCCTATTCCCATCTTCCAACACATCAGTATCACTGAGGCTCACCAAGCTGTCACAGAGTGCCAGACTACACAGCAGTGTTTAATTGTGTATATGAACCTCCAGTTATTTTACATACTTGTGTAAACTGGGCTTTTACTCATTCAAATAAACACAAAGGCTAAAAAGGTATCTGATAATAAAGACTAATTACTATATGCGTACACAGGATAGTTGAGTGTAAATGTGAACAGAAAAAAGCACATGAACTTCTGCATGTCTGTGGCAGTATTCATGTCATGATGCAACTGTCAGGAAGACAGTAGCTGTTAAAAGTATGTTATAAACACC